CCCCTTTTATTGGTTGTTGATCTTGGGCAAGGCACCTGAGCTCTGTGCCTGAGCTTCTCAGCTATATTCTGAGTTTGGGAGTGGGCTTGTGAGCACTCTTTTCCAGCTGTCAAGACTTTAGGCTTCCAAGCAGCCCCCTCGCATACGGCCAAGCTACACAGGGACAGAATCACTGAAGGGGGGAGCAAATGTCAAGGGAAAGAGACTGGGATTGAAGACTTCTCTCACCCATGTCCTGGCACCACCTGGGGTGTGGCAGGAGAAAGCATCTGAGGATGGGCCTCTTGGCACTTATCCAGTGAGCTCCCTTCACAGACTCCAGCTTCCAACCCACACCCTACTCCCTGAATCCTGATCTGAGGAAGAGAGGGGAGACTGGTTTGGCTATTAGAGGTGACAAAAATTTGTGAGGAACCCTGCCCCTTGGCTCCCAGGGCAGGAAATGCCTGGCGGAAGGCGAGGCCATTAGAAAGCACCAGAACCAAGAATGAGCAAGAGGCAGAACTGCCTGGGGCATGGGGTTCCGGATCCAAACAGAATAGGATTTTAGACCAACAGGAAAAACAAAAGTAGTGGTTCCCACCACCTTCCCAGCCGCAAGAAACTGGAAATGACTAGCGATTCCTTTCTGATCCTCTCAGAATGCCCCCCCCACCTCCAGGCCTGTGAGCATATGCATCCCCTCCTGCCCCATTGAGATGGCTCTTTCTGGAAGACAGACTGAGAGCTCCCGGGGCTCTTGTTCCAGCACTCTCTCCATTCTCAGGACTTGCTTTCACCTCTGGAGTTAAACTTCAGGAAAAATAACCCTTCCTTCCCACCCAATCCCACTGGCCAAAATCTCCATCAAAGCCAAGCTTCTGGCCCTCATACTAGGAATCATACTTCAGTGGAAGTAGGGACATCACTGGCTACCCCATAATGGGGAAGGGGCAAGCCCAGGAAAGGGGCAAAAGGTCCTGTTAGCCATCTGAAGTTTCCTAGGGACGGTGAGAAGGTAGAGAAGAAGGTCTGAGGAAGGCAACCTTAGGCGACACTTAGGGAGAGGGAGGGGAGTGCAGTGGGAGTAGAGCAGCCAGAGCTTGGAGCCCAGGGCCCTTGGCCCAGTGCCCAGTCTCTGATCTGCTGCATTGTTCAGCTATTTCCTTCCGTGGAAGTAGTAAGTGGGGTGGAGGGAACCAGGCTCGCAGGGCTGGGAGTAAATGGAGCAGGGTGGAGCTTCCATGGGGGGAGGGGACCTCGAGTCCGTTCCCATGACCAGCTGCCCTTCCGGCAGCCATGGGACTGCGTGGGAAAAGGTCTTGGGAGTGCTGGGGACAGAGAGAGAGAGAGAGAGAGAGAGAGAGAGAGAGCGCGCGCACACACACACACACACACACACACAGGAGCGTGCTTTTTCATTTCTGTCTGACTGCCTTGCTTGGATTTAGTCACAGGACAAAACCTTTTGAGAAACAGTCACCAGTCTATATTCCCACTGGGCTCTGCCCTGGGAGAGGCACAAGAACCAGCCCCAACGCTTGAGAGGAGGACACTGGAGGCCTTAAGACCAACCCCCAGGAGGAGTCTTAACTTCTAGTGAATCTACCTTGGCTCACTTCCCTGGATTTATGAGGATGCTTCTGGAATCTTCTGCAGAGCTCCCAACTTCCCGGCAGAGCTCTATTACCAGCTAGATGTTGGACAGCAGGTGGGAACCAGACATCAGCAGTGAAGTTAACCATTCCCACAGCATCTCTCTAAGAAGCCTAGAGTCCCTCAGAACCGCAGATCTTAGAGCCCGGCAGCATGCCAAGAGATAAGAGATCACATGATGGTCCAGTACTCTGCCTTTAGGCAAGAAGCCTTAAAACAAAGATCACAAACTAGCAGGCACAGGTCAAATGCATCCTGTAAACACATGCCTTGTTTGGCCAGCACAGCACTTAAGAAATTTTTGAACCAATACTGAGAGATTTCACACAAAAAAGTCCCAATTTCTACAGTCTCTTGAAGAAGATATGGCTAGCACTGATGCCATATTTCCTCCAGACAGCACTGAGTGGGTTGAGTAAGGACGGCTCCTGTCGAAAGAGCTTGGGCTATCGTCCATTTTGCCATAGTCCCTACCGTCCCCCAATGTCCTGAACATGGAAGCTCATCACACTTGTGTGATCATTCCATTGTTTTCCGGGCCCTTGTCTCTATGAAAAGTGGGGACGTAAACGAAACCATGAGGGCCACCTGTTTCTAGAGAGAATATTTCTACCCAGCCAGGTCTGTGAGCAAATAAAGGTGAGACCTGGTGTCCTCCCACCACCTCTTCTGTATCATCCCCTCCACTTCCCAGTGACATGATACTTAATGCCATCCTCTGACAATACTGTCACAGACTTTGTGCCAAAACTAACCCCACTCCTTCCCTCTCCCAAATTACAGTTCTCCTTTTCCCAGTGAGCAAACTCCAGTCATCAGCCATAAAAAAATCATATACTGAAGCGATCACAGCCCATCCCCCGGCCCTGGCTGCTTCATCCTGTGATAAAGTTAAAATTCCTTCCCCTGCATGTCCTCTCATGAAGCAACCTGTGCATGTGAATGCATGGAAACCCACTAGAAGGAGGGAACACCAAACTGAAAGCCAAGGTCATCACTGGGGAGGCGGGGAAGGGACCAGAAATGGAGGTGATGGTCCCAAGCCTATCCCTAAAGCTTGACTATTTGACAAGGAGATTATAATCACACGTAACTTACATAATTAAAATTAAGAGGTAGAGATGCCTTAGCCTGGTAACTGTTAGTCTCACCCCAACTTGCGTTTCATGCTTCTCTCCATGAACTATGCATTCTCTTGAAATTAAAAAAAATTTTTTTCAACTAGGTTTAAATATAGTTGACCCTTGAACAATGAGGGAGTTAGGGTGTCTAGTCCTGCAGTCAAAAACCCATGTATAACTTCTCGCTTCCCCAAACTTAACTACTAATAGCCTACTGTTGATTGGGCACTGTACCAATTAACATAGTCTAGTAACACATATTTCATATATTATACTTATTATATACTGTATTCTTACAATAAAGTAAGCGAGAGAAAAGAACATATTACTAAAAAACCATAAGGAAGAGAAAATACATTTACAGTACTGTACTGTATTTATTAAAAAAAAAAAATCCAGGAATGCCTGGCTGGCTCAGCATCCAACTCTTGATCTTAGGGTTGTGAGTTTGAGCCCCATGTTGGGTGCAGAGCTGACTTTAAAATCTTGGGGCACCTGGGTGGCCCAGTCAGTTAAGCATCTACCTTCAGCTCAGGTCATGATCTTGGGGTCCTGGGATTGAGCCCCATGGGCTCCATACTCAGCAAGGAGTCTGCTTCTCCCTCTCCCCTTCCCTCTGCTCATACTCTCTCTCAAATAAGTATTTTTTTAAAATAAAATAAAATTAGGGGTGCCTGGTTGGCTCAGTGGGTTAGAGCCTCTGCCTTCGGCTCGGGTCATGATCCCAGGGTCCTGGGAGCGAGCCCCGTATCAGGCTCTCTGCTCGGCGGGGAGCCTGCTTCCCCCTCTCTCTCTGCCTGCCTCTCTGCCTGCTTGTGACCTCTGTATGTCAAATAAATAAATAAAATCTTTTAAAAATTTTAAATTAAATTAAAATAAAATCTTAAAAAAAATCCATGTATAAGTGGACCCCCACAATTCAAACCCGTGTTGTTTAAGGGTCAAGTGCAGTTGCAAAGGATATGATTTCTGGCATAATGGACATACTGACATTTATATTTATTTATTTATTTTTAAAGATTTTATTTATTTGACAGAGAAAGACACAGCGAGAGAGGGAACACAAGTGGTGAGACTGGGAGAGGGAGAAGCAGGCTTCCTACTGGGCAAGGAGCCCAATGTGGAGCTTAATCCCAGGACTCCAGGATCATGACCTGAGCTGAAGGCAGACACTTAATTGAGCCACCCCGGCATCCCCATACTGACATTTAAAAATTAAACTAGAATCACAGTGATTTGATACTCATCATCAACCATTTGCAAAATACGTAAGTAAGCGCTTCTTTAAAAGAGGAAAATTTACATCGCTGCATTTTCTCCTTGAATGCATTTTCTTTCTACTTCTCCCACATAATGCTATCCTAATGGAGTATATAGTTTATACGTGAAAATCTTTTATTGATCATCAAACAATACTTCTCTACCATAAATATATACATAATACATATGTATATTTTTATATACATAATTAAAATTATATTTTATTTTTTTGTGGCCATAAGGCTGCAGAGTTTAAATTTTTCTTCTGGACTGACTTATTATAGTTATAATTTGTTCACTGTTTATCAAAATGACATGAATATATTCAAATGTTGATAGAGCATTATTAAATATAAGGAGTAAAAATATTTTTTAAGTAAGCTCTATCCCTAGCGTGGGGCTCGAACTCACGACCAAGCCCCAGAGATCAAGAGTTGCATGCTTTACCAACTGAGCCAGCCAGGTGCCCCAGGGAGTAAAATTTTTAAGAAATACAACTCATATTGAAATATTTATATACATGCTGGAATACGACAGCAATCAACATCAATTTTATCCCTACATCCTATTTTTGTAAATGATAATATTGAGAAATCTCATTCACATAAACAAGTACCTGGGAATGGAAGAAGTTCAAGCAGAGTTACTCAATACCACCTAATCATCCAACCAGTAACAACTGAATTTGCTTCACCTCCCTCAACGGTTGAAAGCAAAATATTGGGAAATCTTTGATTTGCGAAATGATTTATTGCCCAGACATCCTGAGTCATTTGCTTTCTCAATATGGAAATCACTATTTTAAATTGTTTCCTTGGAGCCCCAGAGACTTTTACACACCAAGGAAACACACCAAAATAAGAATTAGGATGGGGAAGACAGGAGTCCTATATATAATAGCATAGGTTAAATTAGGCTATCGTAACAAGCAACCTCAAAATCTCAATTGCTTTTAACCCACAAAGATTCTTCCCCCCAACTCACGATACGTGTCCGTTGCAGGTCAGCTGGGAGTTCTGGTCCATGCCATCGTCACTCAGGGATCCCGATGCCACCGTCTGAAATGTCATCAGTCAGTCACCAGGGCAGAGAGAAGGTAAGAGGGAGAATCACACATGGGCTCCAAAATGCGTTCACCCAGAAGACCCATATTGGCCAAAGCAAGTCACATGGCCACACCTGACCTTTTTTTTTTTTTTTAAGAAGATTTATTTATTTATTTTTAGAGAGAGAAAGAGGGCATAGAGCAGGAGGGACATAGGGAGAGGGAGAGCAAACTCAAACAGAAACCCCGCTCAATCTCAGGACCTTGAGATCATGACCTGAGCTGAAACCGAGTCAGAGGCCCAATTGACCATGCCACCCAGGCACCCCAAAACCTGACTTCTAAAAGGTGGGAAAGTACCTGGAGGAGAACAGGGACTATGGGTGAGCAGCACTGATGGTTAACACACTTTTCTTTCCTAAAATGCCAGGCAAGAAATTGTGGAAATGAAGGGAAGTGAGGCAAGGCGTTCAGAAGCACAGACTAGTCTTCCTGGAAGATGGCGGGCTGGAAATTGATTCCCTTCAACACAATCCTGCCACTGACCCTTACAGAAGCTTCTGTGTACCTCCGGGATACACATACTCAAGTGTGGAGACCGCTATGGCTTTGGCGAAGCCTTCTGTTTAGATCCAGGGCCCTCTCCAAGTTCCTGCTGGCATCATTGCCTGTACTAGCTGTCTGGAAGCTGGGGAGTTAGTTACATTTTTATACACGTGTTTCATGTCTTCCTAACAAGCTATAGTTTCTTTAAGGACGGAAACCATATTTTAAGTTTTTATCTCCCCCACCATCTAGCAAGGACAGTTAGAAGTTATGAAGTCTACCTGACGGCTGAATTGGTCATTTTTCTCCATGTGCTTCCACCTCCTCGTCTCTGCAGTCATAACAGCAAAGCTTGCCCCCAGCATCACACTTAAGATGTCTTAAGTCAAAGCTCCTCCCATCCCACTCCCTTTCACTTAACAGGGACCAGCGGCTTGCCACTACCCTTCTGAAAAGCTGTGTGTAATGATGAGCCATTGAAGGCTCTCGAAAGTTCTGTGGGAAATGCGTTTAGGCGGATCTGACATCAGGGAATGCTGGGTGGTTACAGGACCTGCAAGGCCGGCGGTGGGTCGGGGACAGGGAGTCCAGGTAGAAATTTGCACTCCAGAAGTGATGCAGGGAAATGGCAAGCCACACTGAACTCTCAGGGACCGACCCCAGATGCCTTCCTGAACTCCAAAAACCTGGATTCAGGGCTGAAATCGGCAACAATGGCAAATGGTAATTACAAACCTCACGATTCCGCTCGTCAAAACCAAATGTTCTCTGCACCCGACCCTGCCCCCTAGTGGCCTCTCGAGGCATTGCCGATACAGCTTCCCGTCACCAGGGGAGATCTGGGATTGACGTAGGTGATGATGAGAGGATGGCCAAAATTGCTTCTGTCGAAAAGGAAAGGAACAAAGGAGGCAGAGGAGGGGCCATACACATGAGTTGAGTGCAACTGAGCACTTGGGGATTTTTGTCCCTGGGCTTACTGAACAAAGTGAAAACTAGAAAAAATCTTTGAGTTGCAAACCAACAACACATGGGCATGGTTTAGTACATGCAACAGTTTTTAAAATTGAGGGTTAGTTGCCAACAACCGAAATCATGAATCCAATTTGCCCATTAAAATCTGAATGTCCGATTTCTCTTGAAAGATCAAAACATCAAGCCATGCGAGGCCACCATCCTACTGAGCTGCCACTGGCTGGGGCCCAGAAGCACTGTCCCTTTCAGCAGGCCTGAGCTTTCCTGCCCCCAAGACACCCAGGCCACCTCCCTCAGTGCCACCCCTTACCCTGCAGGCTGGGAGTCTGCAACTTCTGACTAAGGTGGATATTTCATGATGGAGAGCAGGATCAAAAAATACCAGGATGGGGCCAACCAGTCATCCAGTTTGTGACTTGCTACAAGAATATCCCCACTAAGCAGCATCTAGTTTATATCTGAAGACTTTTGGGGACAAGAAAATCATTGCCTATGAAGGCAGCCCATTGCACCGTCCCACAGCTCCAACTGCTTTCACAGAGCGGGAACAGTCTGTTGAAGTAGCATTCTCTTGAGGACACATGTCCAAAGAGACATGCAGATATTGCCTGCAATATCGTCTCAGAAGTGAAGTAGCCACTTAGCAGACATGTGTTAGGCACCAGGAGGTGCCCTAGACTATGCTGGTGAGTGATGATGGCATGACCTGTGCCCTAAAGAAACTTCCAGCATGGGCTGAGAGACCAGTCAGGTTTACACAGATGATATCAACACCTGGCAGTGCTAACTGATACAGAGACATTTGGGAATAGTGCTCTGAGAAGAAGCTGTCCAAATCTAAGCCATTCCCAGACATGAGAAATTAAACACGTAAACTCTGAAAATATGAGTGGTAGTTAGAAAGCTCGATGCCATTCCTGACACATTACTATGGACATCTAGGAGTTTAATCCATCAACCAGAAGGGCTTACAGGTAACTGACTTGATCTTTTGTGAAACAGTGAGTCAGCACACCTGTGTTATGTCATTTTACATAACTGAGTGAATTGGGGCACATCTCTTTGCCTCTTAGAGTCAATGCTTCTCCGTCTGTGAACGCAAGTAAGGGACTGGATCCAATTTCTCAGGACCTAATATTTACCTTCATATCCCCAATTCCAGCACAGCAACTGGCTATCTACAATACAAACTATGTACAAATCCAGTAGGTGCTCCCTAAATGTATTTTTTGAAGATTTTATTTATTTATTAGAGAGAGACAGTGAGAGAGGGAACACAACCAGGGGGAGTAGGAGAGGGAGAAGCAGGCGCCCTGCTGAGGAGGGAGCTCCTCAGGGTCTTGATCTCAACCTGAGCCAAAGGCAGACGTTAACGACTGAGCCACCCAGGGGCCCCTTATTTATTTATTTATTTTAAGTAAACTCTCTTCCCAACATGATCAAGAGTCCCTAGGTCTGTGTACTGAGCCAGCCAGGTGGCCCAGTGTTAACAATGTTCCCTAAATATTTGTGATTGCCTGCTGACACTAACTTTGAGGGCATTAGCCAGAACAGAGGCAACCCAGAACAAAGGGATCCAGAAGTAGCCCCAGGCAGAGTTCCTCTTGGGATATCAAAAAAGATATCTGGGTGAGGCTTGTGGACATTTTTCACCACAAGAGGGCGCCAGAGCCTCACTCCACCCACCAGGCCCCTGAGAAGAGGGAGGCCTCATCAGAGGTCACCTGCGTCAGGCTGTGTTGGGTGAGCAGAAACGTCACCTCAGGAACCACTGGGCCAAGACAAGACGCCTGAGATGTAAACACAAGCGGTCATAGGACAAGGGGGCAATGGAGGATGTGGAGGAGGGAGGACAGGAAAAAAGCCAAAGACAGAGAAAGGGACTCGTTGGGGTCCCAGAACATGCTGGGAGATACATCAGGAAATGAGACCTAGGGTAAGGTCACACTGAGCTCCCAAGTTACCTCAATTTCAGAGGGAAAAACTTCTCTCTTTGAGTATCTCAGCACATGCATAGTGGTCAGCAAATGTCTTGACTTGAATGCACAGTAAAGAAAGGGCCAGAAGCCAGACTGAGATGGGTACTGAATGCCTGCCTGAGTTTGACAATCAGCCCATAGGCTCTAGAGAATCATGAAAGAAAGTCCTTTGAAACTGTGAAAGTAGTATGGGGCATCTGTGGCTGTGGACTGGAGAGATTTCTTTTTTAAAGATTTTATTTATTTATTTGACAGATATGTCACAAGCTGGCAGAGTGGCAGGCAGAGGGAGAGGGGGCAGCAGGCTCCCCACTGAGCAAGAAGCAGAATGTGGGGCTCGATCCCAGGACCTGGGATCATGACCTGAGCTAAAGGCAGAAGCTTAACTGACTGAGCCATCTAGGCACCCCAAGGGATTTAAATATGTATGTCCATAGGGGCACCTGTCTGGCTTAATCAGAAAAGCATGTGACTCTTGATCCCGGGGTCATGAGTTCAAGCCCTGTGTTTGATGTAGAAACTACTTTTAAAAATAATGGGGTGCCTCAGTGGCTCACTCAGTAAAGTGTCTGCCTTCAGCTCAGGTCATGATCCCAGGGATGGAGCCCAAGTTGGGCTCCCTGCTCAGTGGGGAGTCTGCTTCTCCCTCTCCCATTGCCCCTCCCCCTGCTTGTGCTCTCTCCCTCTGTCAAATACATAAACAAAATCTTTTAAAAAAATTTAAAAACTTTAAAAAACAAATATACATATCCATGAAGAGCACATGCAAAAAAAAATTGGGGGGAATTGATTTTGGGGGAAATCCTCTTCATGGTGTCTCTTTCTCCATCTCTTTCCTGAGACCCAAGCCACTTTCCAACAGGCACACTCCATCAGTTCCAGAATGAGAACCTGGGCCTGGAAAGAGAAACTGGCACAGCTGAAAAGCCTCTAGTAGGAGAGGTTGCCTTTACCAGGGGCTGACCGTCTATGGCGTCCTGCTCCAGAAGCTGAGGAGTCACCCTGGGGTGGGAAATAGGGGCATCTCCCTCCACGCCCACATCTTAAACCACCCATGTAGCTGTTCTGAGAAGCCAAGCACAGAACCACAAAACATGCCTCTAGAGCAGGGTCTGGACTCAGGAGAGGGGAGGCAGAGGAGAACAGGAGGGCGGCAGGGGGAGTTGAGGGGGGCGGGACTGAGCCATCTGGAACCACTGACTTCCTTCTTTCTTTATTTGGGGGCGGGGGAGGGCAGAGGGAGGGGGAGAGAGGGACTTAAGCAGGTTCCAGCCCAGCATGGAGGCTGACATGGGCTTGATCTCACAACCCTGAGATCATGACCCAAGCGGAATTCAAGAGTTAGATGCTTAACCAACTGAGCCACCCAGGTGCCCTGGAACCGTCCATTTCTAAATCTTGCCCTCCTGGTTTCCATGCACTTAAGTTGATCCACAGTCCAAATCTACAGCTGCATCCCCAGAATGGGAAATTTACCCTCACCTGAGCACCAGACCCAGGCTACACAGGGAAA